CGTATTTCTCGTAAAAATTCACTGTCGCTTCGATTTTACGTGCTGCACAAGAATTTTTTCCCCCATTTATCCGAAAAATGACTCGTGTAACAGTACTTTTTCCTATTCTTTGCGGTACATTTCGTCTGGAAAGACCATCTGAACCCACTTTACAGTGCGAGCACGGTAATTATTCTGGTACATTTCTCTCCGTGTACGTTTCATCAATAAAAATAACTATGTACGGAATGAAAATTGTGATTACAAGATCAAACCATGTAAAATCGATTTTCATAGTATTAACTTTTTTTTCATTTCATTCCGGCTATGCAGTACACGAGCGCACATTTTTCAAAGATAATTTCGATCGGAAATTGTCTGAATTTATCGAAAAAAATATCAGATTTAGGAGAAAAAATAGGGAACAAGCTCAAATCAACGTTTAAAGTTTTATTTTTTGATTTTCACCATGAAGTTGAAGTGGAGGAACAAAATGACCACCATTTTTGAAAAATTCAGAAAATTTCCAATCAAAACCCATGTTTTTTTTCAGCATTTTTTAACCCGATAAATAAGAGCGAAGAATTTTGAGTCTAAAACGCTTAATCACGCGCAGCGTGTTTAATTAAGCCACGTGATCTCTGTTAGGCGAGAAATCCTCTTTTCTATACATAAGTATTGAGACGAACCAAAAAAAAATTTTCGAACATTTTGAGGCCAGATCTCGTACGATATTTGGCGGAATGGCCCATATATTCTGATTGACTTACGTAGAGGACGTCAAAACGGGTATTTTGAAAAAAAAAACAAATTTGAAATCGGTGCAGTAGTTTTTGAGATATTAAGGGAAAACGAAATTTTAAAAAGTTGTTATATCGCAGGAACTACTGGACGGATCGGGCTGAAACAGCGCACCAAAGTTGAGCTCAATAATAGTTACAATGAGCCAAAATTTTAGATTTGTACCCGAGTCGAAAAAGTTAGTCTCAGACTAACTCAGTGACTTAGTCGGTTTTTATTCTGGTTTTTAGATAGGTGTTTGGTCTGGATATGCGAGTTTTAGACCAAAAACCGACCTTGTTTGAAGGTTTCCTCCTCGAGTTAGTCGGTTTTTGGTCTGGTTAGATGGATGATTTGGTCGGTTTTTGGTCTAAAAACGAAGAGAGTGGGGGAAAATTTGCATAAAAATTACATACGAAATTTGCATAAATAACGAACCGTAAATTTTGGGTAAAAAATCTGCAGAAATATTACTATGTATTGAGCATCCAATGCGAGGAAGGATAAAAATAAAGATTCAGTAGGTAATTCATCCGTTATTATTTTTTATTAAAAATGCTCCAACAAGTGAAGTATTCTTGATTACGAAAGGAACATAGAATTAGAATTATGTGTGAACTATATAAAAATAAAATAATACCTTGAAAACCACGTAAAAACACGTAAGTTATTGACGAGAACTGTCAAGAATTAAGAACTATCAAGAATTAATCATGACTGACTGAAGAATATCGTTTTTTCTACAGTGGCAACAAGAATGGAGGAATTTCCGATTCATATCCCTCATGCATTATTGGATAAAAGTTGTTGTNATCGTTTAGGCCCTTTGGAGCGCAAATACACTGTACATTGCTTGCCCCCAGAGGGCCCAAACGACGGTAACTTGTATCGACGTCCCTGAAAGAGGTAGACAGGCGCACGTGTTTTCAATTTTCAGGGACCGACGGTGAGCGGACCCATAAACCCCATAACGAGTTATGATTGTTTTAACACCACTTTTTTTTGACAAATTTTCTCGATTTTTTTTAAATCAACGGAGGTTGTTTATTAGAAAAATATTGACCGAATGTATTTTATATTGAATTCAGAATGCATCGTTTTTTTTCAGGTCGGTTCGACAATTCGACGACATAATCGCAGTCGACATTTTTATTAATTAAATAAATAAAAATTATAATAATGAGTTTTTTCTTCTCTCGTTGGCTTCCCAAGGGTTCAACGAATCTCCGGAAAAATTGACGATTTAAAAACTTTTTTTTTCATACGTATGGTAGCGGTTCAAAGTTTGCCGACTTTTACGGACCCTGAAAATCGGGGGGTTTTTCGGCTTCTCACAGCGACTATAAATAAACTAATCAAATTAAAAACTTGAAACTTCGTATTGGGTGAGTGAAATACTTATATTACACAGTGCAATTGGTCCCATATTTATACGATTTTTTTTTCTCAAGTTATGCGCATATAACTCCAGGGTCCTCTACTTCTGAAACGGATAGTAGTGTGCTCATTGAGTCAGTGTGACTGATGAACACACTAGAATCCCTACAATATCGGCTGGCTGCATGACTGAGGTCTTCCGTGGTTTCCCTCAGTCCAGGCCAAATGGGTGGAGTTGGGGAAGTCGGCCCATGGTAACGCAGAGGGGGGAATACGAGAGGTAAAAAGAGAGGAGGGAGAGGCAGGGTGCAGGTGTCAGATCGAGAATTGTACTTTGATAACACTAAAGTAATGAAATAATTTATTTTTTAAAATTATTATAAAAGAAGAAAAAGTAATAACCCGGTTATGTGGCACATTAGTTGAAGTTGAAAAAATATTCATACCAATTCATCAAAAATTTCCAACCAAAAATATGCTAATAGGCAAGACCTTCACAAACTTATTTTTTTGTGTCAACCCGAGTGGAAATTCGGAAATTAGGTTAGACCTGACCACTGATCAGGTATTGATCAAGTTGACGGATCCGGGCCTGATCAGACATGTTACGCCTCCGACCAATCCAGATTTGATCAGGACGAATGGATCCGAACTTGATCAAGTCAACTGTATGAAAACCGGATGACTTGTCTGTCAGTATCAATAATAATTATCAATGATAATTAATTCAAAACAAAAATAATTCAATTCTTTCACCGTAGGCCGCCTCTCTTAATGAATCTCTACTGTTATTACCTCTGAAAAAGCTTATTATTTTTTTACCGATGCTGGGGATCGAACCGGGGACCCTATGGTTGCTAATCCTATGCCCTAACCACTACGCTATCGCGATATTACTATTGAGTAAACTGTATATTGCCTATATGATTTGTATCATTGAATTTACGATTATTCCTGATCTCGCAGATGTGCGTTTGTATTCTCAGAGATAAAATATGTTCAATTAAATTTTTATTTATTTCATTGATGAATAATAATAATGGTAATAACAATAACTCTATAAACAAATAAATAAATAGACATTTAGTGATTTTTTTTCTTAAGATCATTTGCGTGTAAGTTTGATACTCCTCTAATACGTATTTACGGCATCATCATCCCTCCCTTCTGTACATTTGAAAAGGGCTGGCTGTTAATTAAATAGATTAATTAAAATGAATTCATTAAATTAAATTAATTCAATTTAATTTATTTTAATTACAGTACAATGGTCCTTTTTGAAGATTGAAAATAATTATTGATAATGGTTGATAAAACTTAATTTGAATAGTATAATAATAGTTAATTAAATTATCCGAAAAACTTATTAAAATTAATGTCAGGTGGAGCGGATCTGAATCTGATCATTTTCTCTTCAATTGACCTCTTTCAAATGCCGATCAAGGACATCAAATCCGAATTTGATCAAATTGGGGTCAGGCAGCCGACCTCAGTGTGAGATCGTGCCTACCTGATCAGAACTTGATCTGAACCCGCCTGTAGTTTTTCGGATCCGATGTGCTGGATCAGAACTTAATCAGGTTCTCATCAGGCATCATCTGATCATGTCTACCTGATCAGAACTTGATCTGAACCCGCCTGTAGTTGTTCGGATTCGATCTGCTGGATCAAAACTTGGTCAGGTTGTCATCAGGCATCATCTGATCATGTCTACCTGATCAGAACTTGATCTGAATCCGCCTGTAGTTTTTCGGATCCGATCTGCTGGATCAGAACTTGGTCAGGTTCTCATCAGGGATCACCGGATCAGTCGAACCTTACAAAAACCGGATCAAGTTCTGATCATGCTTCAGGTGGGCCTGAAGCAATTTCCACTCGGGAATGTGCAAATACATGCAAATTTCCCTCTAAGGGTTGAGGAATTCCGTCTTAAGATCGCACTGATCATCGAAGAATCGAAAATAAATTACATAGATTGGTAATTGCCATAAGTGGATCTTGTACCAAAAACTATTTTTATTATACATTATTTCTCCGTGTCTATTGTAGTAATCATGTGGACCTTTCGGGAATTTAATGAGTCCAGTAAAAATTAAAAGGGTTTCGTGGAACTTTTATTCAAAGTTGGAGAAATATAAATTTCCATAACAATCACTATTTATTTACTAATGTAAGAAATGCCTCCGTGAGAAACTTACACCGTGGCAATGGAATTAAGGCTGTTCCAGAATGGAATATCGGGACTGGGTGACCCAGAGTAAAATCAAGTTTGCTTCCATCCCGAGTCGAAAAATTTAGTCTCAGACTAACTCAGTGACTTAGTCGGTTTTTGTTCTGGTTTTTAGATAGGTTTTTGGTCTGGATATGCGAGTTTTAGACCAAAAACCGACCTTGTTTGAAGGTTTCCTCCTCGAGTTAGTCGGTTTTTGGTCTGGTTAGATAGATGATTTCGTCGGTTTTTGGTCTAAAAACGAAGAGAGTGGGGGAAAATTTGCATAAAAATTACATACGAAATTTGCATAAATAACGAACCGTAAATGTTGGGTAAAAAATCTGCAGAAATATTACTATGTATTGAGCATCCAATGGGAGGAAGGATAAAAATAACGATTCCGTAGGTAATTAATCCGTTATTATTTTTTATTAAAAATGCTCCAACAAGTGAAGTATTCTTGATTACGAAAGGAACATGGAATTAGAATTATGTGTGAACTATATAAAAATAAAATAATACCTTGAAAAACACGTAAAAACACGTAAGTTATTGACGAGAACTGTCAAGAATTAAGAACTATCAAGAATTAATCATGACTGACTGAAGAATATCGTTTTTTCTACAGTGGCAACAAGAATGGAGGAATTTCCGATTCATATCCCTCATGCATTATTGGATAAAAGTTGTTGTAATTAGTCCAATGTCCTCTGTGATGATGATGCCAAGGTTGTTGAAAATTCTCAGCAACTGATTGATTCTGATGTAGCGGTGTAAATAGTGGAGTGTGTTGCTGCTGGTAGGGATTATTGTTGTTGTCATGTCCTCTGAATCCGGTCGAAAGCATTGAATTAGGGATTGGAGACATTGAATTTCGGTCAATCTGTTCTGATGAATATGGTACAGAATGATCATTCGATGGGTTACTGCTGCTGCATCCAGAATCGTTAGAAACTGAAGGAGGGGGTTCAGATGGTACCATCTCAGATGTCTGGCTGTTTTAAAGAGGTTCACTGGCTCCTCGATTTTCTCTTTCCCCTCCAGCATTCGAGGGAGTTTGTGTTGTCTTCAGGAACTGTACTGATCTTTTATTGGAGGTTCGACTCTTCCTTATTAATATGCCCTTGTTCTCTTTACTCCTGCTCTGTTGGCTCTTGTTTCTGTCTCTCCGATTGGTACAAATTTTATTTACGTGTTGACTGTAGTCTTTATCAGTAACCTTGATTGGATGATCTGGGGTTCCTTACGCATAGACGAATTCTGAAATGTCAATGGATTATGCCATGAGAATAAAATACACAACTCCACAGACAACCGAGTTTTAGAAAAAGTACGGAAAAGATCACGAAAAAATTACGTTTCCTAATTTTGCATTCTCCCCCTGTATTCTTTCCCTATTTTTACTAGAAAAAAAACCCCAAAATAGGAATTTCTCTCACTTTCATGTTTTCTTATGTAACTCTTCCGGGGGTTCTTTTATTATTATTATCGACGGATTCTCTAAATTCTTTTCCATGTTTCATCAATTAAACCATTAATCCTCCTGATGATTCCATGAAAAACTGATCAATTGAATTATGATATGAATCAATGTTTGNATTCTTTTCCATCTTTCATCAATTAAACCATTAATCCTCCTGATGATTCCATGAAAAACTGATCAATTGAATTATGATATGAATCAATGTTTAACAAATTTCCTTACCCTTGACAGCCTTGTAAATTTTGGTATGCATCTTGATTTTGCCTTTCGTTCCTGTCACTGACATAAGCCTCAACGTATCTCCATAAATTTCAACAAAAACATTAGTTGCCAGTTGCTTCCAATTGTATCATTAAAGTCATCCATTGCTTCTGTCATTGCACGTCTATGGATGAAAACTTCGGTCCCAGGATGGATTTCCATCTGTAATATTCGCCACATGTAAATATTCCATCGAGTAATTAGGAGGGTATTGAAACAATGATATTATCCAATAATTTACCTTATTCATAGAAGGCGTGCGCGCTTCGTCGTACAACTATAAAAAGAAAGATCATTATTATCATAATATAATCATATGATGGAATTCGTCCAAAATCATGTACCTTTTTTATTCGTTGAAAAGCTTTATAATGTCCCTCGTTTGCCATAATTTCCAAAGTCTGGGTAAAGTCTCGGAAATAGGAAATGATTTCCGGAGAAGCTAAAAAAATTATAACCAATCAAGTAAGCAACGTAGCACGGATAAAAGAATTCAAATTGATTGCAAAATCGATAGCATACAGAAGAAGCGATTAAGGAATTTATTGACAAGAACTTTTCATCATAAAAAATATAAATAGAAAAATCATCTAGAAAATTCGAAATGAATATAATTTTTCTCATCTAATATTTATGGAAAAATCACAGGTCAAAATCGTATGATTTCAAATTGAAATTTGCGCAAGAACCTCAAATGATTTTATGCTCCTAGAAAACCGAAAACCACATTCTAACCACACAAAGTGCAGTTAGAAGTCGCGGTTTGTCGGTCCTTCGGACATCAAGTATTGTATGTCACACGGCGATAAAGGTATTTACCGACTCATGTGATTGTAATTCTCGCCTTCGGCTCGGATTATAAAGTCAAAAATATGAAGTAATAGTCCAACCGTTTCGAATCATAATTAATTGGCTGAGTGGTAGGAGATTTAATTAAAAGTCAAAAATACTTTCATCGTCTGATGACATAATGTACATTTCAATATAATCCCTGAATCATAAATATTGTTTTGAAATGTTATATCGCATTCAACAATGGACTCTGAATCCTCATGATGGTTCAATCTCCGATTCTCAATTATTGGAGCTCTCACTGGTGTCATCGTCGACGACGTGGGCAGAATTTCCTCAAATTCTTTTCCTCCTCGTCGTTTCTTTTCTAACATGGTAGATTCCTCATCGTCAGTATCTATTGCATGAGAAGTGCGAGGGCTAGAACCTCCTGCATTCGTTGGTAAAACATCGAAAATTGATGCCCGTTGACTGAGTTTACGTTGATGCTCGAAATCGGTATTAGCTCGCCGCTTCTTCTGTTCCCTTGCAGCTCCTTGTAATTGTTTACGTCGTTGCAGAATATCCTCTGTGAAACCTTTTTGCTGAGGGTCCATCACGGTCCCATTCTCTTTATCGACCATCAGATTATTCAAAACTGTTGGGTCATCTGCAAAAATTAACAATAATGCATTATTGAGAGCGTCATAATATTTATACTCCCCCAATTTCATTCATTATTCTCTTTTTCAATGTTTACTTCAAGAGGAAAATATCCCATAGTACACGCTTGGAAATTTTTGGCTGGATTACCGGTAGGCTTTTTGAATATTGAAAAACCAAAATTTTTTTAGTTCTAATGAAAATTCAAAAAATTTTATAATGGAAAATTCATAATTTAGTTGAAAAAAATATTACAATTGTAAATTCTAGTTCCATCATTTCTTTGCAATTAACAGAAAAAAAGGATAGTTCCAATGAATATATTCTTGAATTTTAAATTATTTGAAAATCCAATGTAATTTAAATGTTCTGACCTTCGATTCCCGCCGGCTTCTTAACAATAAAGATGGTTAGTATGGAAAACAAATGTGGAAATAACCCCCTCCCCCCTTTCGCCCAGTCGGACGGCATAGTCCGCAAACTGAAAAAAAGGGACATTTCGAGGAGCCTCTTGAGTTTTATTACGCTGTAGGTAGAAAAAGTGGGAAAATTTGGCCATCTAGAAGGACGGCGAGCTCGACTTTTCTCCCCCTCCCCCCTTTCTGTATTCGGCTTGACAGAAAAGCAAGGCCCACGTTTTTCCGCCCTCCTCCACTTTTGAATTCAGGAAAGCCCGGGAACTTGCTGCATTGAGAACCCGTAGGATGTTCATGTATAAATCTACTAATGAATGAGCATACATTGAATAAATTACATGGCCAGAATAATTGGATCTTCCAATCATCAGTATCAATTGATCAACAATAACAATATTATTTTTCATGTTTAGATTAACGGGTTTGCATGGACGAACCAATGCCATATTCTCGATGGACATAAGACCGATTAAATCTTTCCTATCGTATTCAATGTTAATGAATGAAATAATTTGAGATTAATTGATTATAAGATAATCAATCATTTAAACTTACCGTTAAATCGCAAAATTTTTGCGTCCCACAACTTTGGTTTCTTTGTTGGTGCGTCCCTCCACAATAACTTAATGGATGCCTCTTCCTGACGTTTTTTGGGAGGAATATCCTTGGTTAATAAAACAGTTACTTCTTTACTGCTTGGCCAATAAACTAAACAATATTTTTCTTTCATTATCACTTTTATAATTCACTTTCACAACTCAATTTTTCAAGAAAACATAAATATTCCGTGACAACTTGAATGCAATGTTTCCCACAATGGCTACTGACCCATTCAAAACTGAAATTGTGAATGAGGCCTGTGAAGCATAGGTGGCGTCCTAGTAGCACAACAGTGTGGACTATACACTACGCCGTAGAATGTACACATAGTATACACTTCGAGGAGTACATATCCACTATACTCGATCGAGTAAGTGAATAGCCTTCGGGAATGATCGGATTGCATTCTCCATTGCAACTATCGAGCTTGGGTTGCAGACGAGCACGGAACACATGACTTAAGGGGTAACGGAACCCGTCGCACGTAGAGGTTAGGGGTCCCCCCTATCGGTATTGCAGGTTCCCGTGGTTTTTTTGATTTTGTACGTGAAAAGTACAAAAGCCCATAAAATATAAATAAATGGATATAAATGAATAATAATGGTATGGAAACATTCTACTTCATCTTCTGACTCGTAAAAGTACTTCCCTCTTACAATTGGTGCCCTGTAAAGGACATGTTACCTCTTGGATAGCACCCAATCATCATAAATAAGTTTTTACGCAAATCACGCAACAAAAGTACGTTTTTGTACTCAAAATCTCTGTCTTGGACTTCACTCGATCGCTCTCTTCTCATGAAAATAGCCATCGGCTAAGAAAAATCTACAAAAAATCGGTTTTTCTACCGTGACTTGGCAGATTCCTACAAAGAAAATGGCGTCGGCCTTGCCCTGGTCCTTGCCATTAAATAATTTGCAATTTTTTTCTGCATAAATAAGAAAAGCATGAGAAGAGAGCGATGCGTTCCGCTACTTTCAATACGGGGAAAAAGTTTCATTGATTCTCATTGCATAGAATCCAAGAAAACTTGTTTTTGGTAAACGTCTTTTTGTGGTCGGTTCCGTTACCCCTTAAGGTGAGCCCACAATAAACGCGCGTCATTCGTTTGCGTTGCGTAGCTAAGGTAATTAATATATTTATATTTATTGTAACGCGACGCAAACGAGGGGCGCACGTCAATTGAGACTCTGCCTTAAAGCGAAATTGAACGACGCGCGTCTCTAGAAGTGAAGTGGTGTATTTATCTATTCATAATCGCTAAAAGTGCTCGCAGTTTTTGGTTGTATTGACCATTTGTTATTTCTTTTAAAAATGCGGAAGCGATTGAGTGACCTCTCAAGAAAATCGATATTACGACGCCGTTCAAAAATTAAAGCATATCGAAAGAACAATCATTCAAAAGAACGAGATGGGCGTCATTTGGCAGACTGCTCAGTAACTGCAGCAGGTGTTTCAAGGAGGTAAAATGGATGAATTTTTCTAATTTTTTTAGTTCATACAGTAACTATAATACAGTGTTAGAAAATTACTCCTGAAATTTCAAGAAAAAAAGCTTGTAATTTTTAACAACAATTCATTCACATGAATTTTCCATCTATTTTCAATGGAAAATCAGTCAAATTGGGTTGTTGCATAAAATTTTTTTATTGCAAATACTGATGAGATCTTAGAATTGGATAAAAAATAATAAAGACGTTTTTTTTTATTTTGGAAAAAAATAAAAAATGAAAAAGTTATAGCCAATTGAAGGAACGTCTTACTTATGACGTCACAGTGGACAGTATATGGGCGTTTTTGGCGTGGCGTCATAAGTTAGACGTTTTCAATCGCCTCTAACTTGTTAATTTCTCATTATTTTTCAAAATTAAAAAATGTGTATCTAATATTTTCCATCTAATTTTTATATCCAACAATAAAAAAATTTCATGCAAAACCAGAATTTTCAGTCAAATTTTATAGTATGCAATGGAATCTGAATTTGTACGTCCATATGACGATGGAAATTATGGATGCATTTTCAATTCATTAAAAATTGAATCCAATGTGATGTTTAATTTTCAAATTGAATTAGAAAATTCAATATGTTATTGAAAAATCAATACTCGCCTAAGATGAACAAATTCAATTTCCCTGAATTTCCAAATTGCATAACATATCTCATGAACTATTTGACCTTAAATTTAATTCAAATTCACAACATTGAGCACTCAAATGCAGATATCACCTAAATTTCCAAAAATTCTAACAGTGTAACTCAATAATTACTCAAATATCTTATACGAAAATGTATAGCTTCAATTCTAGAGGTACTGATATGCAAGAAGACGAAGCTAGAGTCAGGATTGAATCAGTTGATCCTATTGATGTAATCCACAATGATACTGAAGAAGGGGTACAACATGGAAAAGAGCAAGAAGTGGATACTGATGACACTGAGAGTGAACATGACTATGAAGATGATTGTGGAAGTGAATGCGACAACGATGGGCATGTGCGTGCTATCCGAAATGATATTCCATCGACCAAGGCAGGAAACCAGACAAGGTTGGATTCCAGTGGTGATGAAGAGGAGGATGATGTGGATCCTCGATACGACCAGCCGATCTATGACGGAGCACCGATTACCTTTCAAGAGAGCATGTTACTACTCTTGAGTTTAGTTCTATCCCATAATATCACCGATTCATGTTTAGCAGACATGATAGCCATCATCAATTTCCATTGCCTGAAACAAGGTCTGCACAAAATGAGTCTCTATTTTTTCAAAAAATTCTTCGGTTTTGCTGGTAATTCGTGGAAAAAAAGTTTTTATTACAAAGAGTGTTTTTCGAATTTGAAGAATTCGTCAGATAGATGCAAACAATGTGGAAAAGACGCAGGTATCGGATATTTTGTACAACTTTCTATTACCGAAAAATTAAAAATGATCGTGAAAAGGGATGGATATTTTCAATTACTGCAGCATTCACGCGTCCGCACACGACCAGTTAATTGGGTACAAGACATTTATGATGGGGAATTATATCGCACTCATGGCGAGTTTTTGGCTTCTTCCTCAAACATATCATTGACCTGGTGCACTGATGGTGTACCCGTATTTAAAAGCGCACAGCCATAGGGAGAAAATAGCCACCTAACAGCTACCTAATTACGTGGCTGTTAGGTGGCTGTTAGGTGGCTACTTGTTTTGGTGTAAAAAAGGGTAAATGATACCTGGAACGATTATGGATGTAAATCTATGAATTATTAATGAATTTTAGTAGCTTTAATGACAATAATTAATGACATGAATTATTAATGAATTTTAGTAGCGTTAATGACATTAATTTCCATTAATTAAGGAAAATAATAGTTTGCGTATTGAAAGGGAAAATAAATCAGTAGGGGGAACGCCGCCGGATGGCGGCAGTGTCGACTTCTCGCCCAGGCCGATAAAGTCAGCAGCAGTGGCGGGAGAAAATTGATTATCCAATAGGTTCATATTGGCATTTTTTTTAATTAGTTTAATTCTGTACTGACCCAATTGCCCTACGTGAA